GCGGCGGCCGGCCCCGTGCGAGCGGCGCCCTGACGAGGGCCTCTTGTCCGTTGAAGGTGATAAAGGCCCTGCAGTCAAAGCACCACTACGGCGAGGGAGAAGCCCGCGCCATCTGCGATAAGGTGCAGGCCAAGCTCCTCAAGGAGTGTCACGATCCCGCCAAGATGTGCATCACGGACCTGCGGATTTCGCACTGGGAGGAGGCCATCCAAGAGACGATCGGGGGGGAGGCGAACCGAAACCTGGCCGCCGAGTGCTATTTCCTGTGGAAAACGACCCGCCTCCAGCACCTCACCCTGGGCGAGGACACGAGGGGCATGCTCACCGAGCTGCGGAAGGTGGTCCGCCTGCTGCTCCTGACCAACGGCGACAAGCAGACGCAGAGGGAGAAGATCGAAGCGTGCGCCTGCCAGCCCTACTTCGACGCCATCGTTGTGGGGGGAGAGCAGAAGGAAGAGAAGCCGGCGCCATCCATATTCCATTACTGTTGCGATCTCCTGGGGGTGCAGCCCGCAGAGTGTGTGATGGTTGGCGACTCTTTAGATACAGATATTCAAGGAGGCCTGAATGCTGGCTTGAAAGCAACTGTCTGGTTAAACAAAGCCATGACAACCCCGGTAGATACCTTTCCGGTACCTCATTACATTATTTCTTCTGTTCTGGATCTTCCAGCAGTTTTACAGAAGATGGAGCACAAAATGAATGCTAAGTTAGGAACTGACCATACGGCTGGTACTGATGAAGCACACTGATGGTTCCGGCACGCAATCAGCGACGTGCTAAGCTGCTCTTAAAAATCTGACCCTAGGATTTTGAACTCGTGTATGGTATGCTTTCTTAAACAGCAGGTGGACAGATGAGAGCACAGTTGTCAGTGAAAACAGGGTAGGAACAAAGAATTAGAGCAATATAAAAGATGCAAGTGGAGTTAATTTAAAACCACTGCCCCTGTCTGGAGATTAGTTTGATAGACTGTGGCTGAAGTCTGTCTGTCGCTGGCCTGAGTTGCCAGTGTCTTGTTTTTATAGTGGAGAAGAAAATGTGAATGTTTTTATCTTTCGCATGATTTGCTGACTTGTAAGTTCAGCAGAAGCTTTGGTTTCAACCTGGTTTGCAGTGTGTAAAAGGTGAGAAAGA